TCCCCTCCCCTCCCCTCCCCTCTCATGTGCTGGGCTGAGAGGAGGACAGAGCAAGCTGAGGCACCTCCTGGATGGTTTTGAGCAGTTTTGCATGTCTGGAGCAAAATCTTCCTTGTAGYTCTCTCTGGATGAAGCACGGCCAGGACAAACATCAGTGTTTAGCGACAAAGGGACATGGAGGGAGTGATCTAATTAGACACTTACTCTCCAGCATCTTGGATCTCAGAATTAAGACAAAATTTGAAAAATTGAAACTGAAAATGAAAGGCAAAAATAGGCAGATCATAAGAAAAGGAAGTCGAACTCAAAACAAGATTGACATTATAATTTTAATTAGTTGCTTTCTCTTTTGGAAAATGGAGGTTCACTGGAAAAAAACAAAACCCTGCTTGTAAGAAAGTATAATTTCTTATTATTCTGAACTAATCTGAAACAATCCCAGTGGAAAAAAAGTTTTCCTATTGATACTTTCAATGAGAATATTTTATTATTTTATAATTCAAGACAATGCTTTAATCACAGTATTTTGGTTAATTCATAGTTTAAAGTGTGAAAAATGAACCAAAAAGGGAAGATAAAAATATTATTTACATAAAATATTTTTTAAACTTCATCTTAAGGATTTCTTCTTATTTGTCTTCTTGAACAGCATTATTTTCCAATTTTTTGGCTTTTTACAAAAATTCTAAAATTTGTGTGACAGCTCAAAAACCATTTGTGGCATAGGTTAATGGTTAAAGTCTTAAAACATCTGCGGCACAAATCATRGTCAATGTTGCACTGTGTCAAATTTTGGGTGTATTTCAGTGAACTATGAGTTGATGCTGCTRCCTCAGGAGCCTGAGTTTGCTGCATCTCTTCAGCAGAGGCAGGTCTAGAACGACGTGAAGTCTGCCCTAACATTTCTAAAGCTACCTTTCCTGGGAAGTCTGCTTCAGCCTGGTACTTACAGCTCCCTGGCCTCKCCACTGGAGGACACAGCTGCACGCTCCGGTGGTGGTGTGTGACGGGCAGGTAGAGGAAGAGTTTGTTCTGCATGTGTCTAGAGTTTATCATTAACACCTCCACCGAAGCCAGGGAGAATCCAGGCAGGAAGTGASAGCCAGGGTGTGCAGGGCTATCGGCAGACATGGACTCAGGTATTACAAACATGATGATGCCGCCAATGAGCAGGTAGGAGATCTTCCTTAAGTCTGCTTTGTTAACTGGGAGCACTGCAACAGTTGCTGGATTTTGGCAGCAGGAGTGGTTGCTTGTGATATTTGCATAGTTTGGAAACAGCTTGTGTTTCTTTATCCTTTTCTGTTTTTTTCTAGTATGGATGTGTAGCTCTAGTCAGTGACCTGAGGCTGCAGAATTAAAATGGGGAACATAGATGACTGAAAGGGAAATATTATATAACAATGGTTTCCTTCAGGGCCAAAAAAAGAAGAATCTACTGTTTCACATATTTGCACTGTAGMCAGGAGTTGGACTYGATGGTCCTAATGGGACCCTTCCAATWAGCATATTCTGTGATTCTAAGGTGAGACCATCCAATGGCAGGAAAGGTTGGATCCTGGTGGAATCAGGAATGCCGAGGATATTGATTCCTATCAGTGGGTGACATTTCACTTGTCGATGAGGTGAGATGTGCAGCAGCCGTGTCATGTAGGCAATGCAGTCTTCCTCCTGCTGAGGAACCACCTTTGGGCAGTAGAGGGAGGTGTTGCTGTAGCTGAGGGTGAAGCCCAGTTCACAGGGTAGTTCTTTGGGGCTGCTTAAGTGGATATGAGGAATTGTCCCCAGCCACCTTGTAGAACCGTTTCCATATCCCTTATAGAACCGTTGATGAKGGTAGGACACTGACAGTACGTTGTTCATTAAAGCCTTTGATATTTAAGCTCAAATGTGCTTGTAGGGGTACAATAAGGGGCACAGCAATCCTCTTGGTGCTGTTTGTGGGAGGCCCTRTGTGCCCATCCAGACCTGTGGGATTGGCTGTGTCAATGTGTGACCCCACATGTTCTCTGTTGGCTCCACTGCATGGAGGCTTGGGGGCTTGGAGCTGTGGCAGCCTCCTCTCTCACAGGCTGCTGGATCAGGCAACACCTGACAATAGTGATGGAGGGGGAAAGCCCTTTCCATGGTGCCATGCCCTGGGTGTGCCCTCAGAGGTTGGTCTGAGGGTGAGGGGTGTGAGAAAAGGCTCTGGAGATGGGGGMAAGGATTCCAGTGTGCCCATGGATGGGCCTATGGCAATGCGACCAACATTGTCCTGGAAAATGTGAGCCAGGCCGGAGCCACAGCGTGGGCAGGGCTTGCTCTCCACTGGGCACTGGTGTGGCCAGTGCAGGCTATGGAGTCAAATGGACCTGAAAGGAGACTCTCCAAGGAGAGATGCCAAGGAGATGCCAAGAATGAGGCTGATGGAGGTAGAGGCGGGTTAGACAGGAGACAGGGCCAGAGGAGGTACCCAGAACAGGAGGAGATCATAGGGCACCCTGCTGCMAAAACTTCTCCTTGCCCATGATGTCTCCAAGGGAGACCAAAAGCACTGAAGGGGGAAGAAAGAAAATAGTAGAAAAGGGTCTAGAAGGAACCACAAGGGTCCTAGAAAAGTCCAGCTTTCTCTTTTTCCGCTGGTTTACACCTGTATAAACCCCACCTACCCAGCCCTGAGCCTTCCTTGTTTTTCCTGCAGGGGCCAGCTGTGGCAGAAGTTCAGACACAGAGGGAATAGGACGTGCTGCCTCCAGCTAACAGGAGGGCAGGGAGCTACAAACACTGCCACCTTCAGAGCAGGACCCTTGAACAAGCTGCCACATGTCCCACGTAGCCCCAGTGCCACAATCCATCTGTTCCCTTCTCCCACATCCAGAGATGCAAGCGACTTCCCCTGTTTAATTAGCCCCTTGTCATTGCCAAAGGGAGCTCTGCCTGCATCACTGGCCAGGCCAGAGAAGGTGCAGCTGAGGTGCACCTGGCCCCATGTGAGGGATGGAAGGGAGCAGCTGTTTGGGGTAAGGACCATCGGTTCCTCCAGTGTGGGGCTGGGAGGGCCTGGATGGATGAGGAGCAGAACCAACCCTGTTGGGTGGGGGGGGGATATGTTGCATCCAGACCTTCAGGGAGGAGGTATTGCTGTCCCTCCTGCAATGACAGACACTACAGGCCAGGAAGACAACACTGGCCCTGAGAAGGCCAAAAAGGAAGTCAAGTTCCTTCCCTCCTATTCAATTCTGTTGAGCCACCACACTTGCGGGTTTGTGGTTGCGAAACAATCCCCTATTTCACAAGGCAGAGAGGAAGCCATTACCCCATCAAGTGACCGGAACTAAGAAAGAGAAACAAAAAGTCCTAATAGCTTTTCCCCCAAAGGTCTGCAGGATTCTAAGACCTCAGCAGTCACAGGGGCCCAGCCCTGGGCATGTGACTGGGACATTGGGTTCCAGTTCAACCATCCCAGCCCTGCAGTTGTGCTACAGAAACCGAAGCAGTGGGACAGAAGGTGGCTTATGGCAACAAGGTCGTATCAGGAGCCACAAGAAGCCACCCAGCTGCTCAGTGCCTGTGGCCAAAACCTTCCTGCAAAGAAGCCCTGCTTGAGCCAAGTACAGAGCGAACCAAGAGGGACATGATGCTGCCTGTGACCCATGTGCTGGCCTTTGGTGAGTGCCAGAAGCTGTGGGGATTTCTAGAGGGTGACAGGAGGTGTCCAGACATTCCACAGAGATGTTGCACAGCTGCTTYTCTTGCAGGTGGTTGGCTGGTGACACACAGCAAGGCTATACTGAGTAAGTATCTCAAGGAGGTAGATGGGGAGTTTGGACACATTTCTGGGCCCCACCCATCTCCCAGGGCTCTTCTACAGCTCCCCGGAACAGAAGTCCCCCTTGTGTGAGTAGAGATGGGGCCTGAAGGGAGCCCCGGGCTCATGGCAGGGCAGCTGCTGGGGGGTCCCTGTCTGGCAGTGTCTCTCTCCCTGTGCAGGTGCCCCCACAATCTCCATCTTCCTGAAGCCACCTGGAGTGATCGCACCAGGAGGCTCCACCACCATCTGCTGTATTTGCCAGCATGGCTATGGGAAATTCGTGATGTACAAGGGCGGCGCCCAGCTCCATAACCTGGAGTGGAGTGGAAGCAGGGCTGAGTTCTYCATCTCTAATGCCACCGTCAATGACAGCGGTACCTACTACTGCCACTACCTGGAGGGAGGCACTGTGCTGGCTCGCAGTGATGGACTGGAAGTCTCTGTGACAGGTGAGGGATGTGCTGTTTCCCCTCTCTGGGGTCACATGGCACAGGCTACGCTGGGATGCCCGTGGCCATTTCCATGAAGGGCAGGGTTTTTTCTCCTCTTCTCTGGCTTGGAGAGGTGGGCACCATCTTCTTCTCTGTCTGAGCCAGTTGGCGGCTTCACAGAGAACCTGGTGCTCCTGGTGTCAAAGCCCTGTATCCTTTCTCATTCCCTCTCCTGTCCGCACAGAGCTCCGTCTCCCCAGACCCGTCCTCTCTGTCCTGCCTGGGCACAAGGTGACGGTGGGAGCTGACGTGATGTTCCGCTGCACCACCACACAGCCCAGCACTGGCTGTTACCTGTACCTGGAGGGCCAGTACCGAGCCCAGCTGTTCTCAAGKGAACAAGGTGACTACAACCTCTCCCACGTGCAGGAAGGTGACAGCGGCCGCTACAGCTGCCAGTGCTACACTGGGAATCCTCCAATAGAATGGTCTGTTGTCAGCAAGGCCCTGGACTTGGTGGTGAGAGGTGAGACATCCCCCAGCCACACCCTACTCTGCTCTTCCTCCCTGCAATCTGTCACATCCTTGCGAAAGTAGAAAAGAGGATTTATGGCACGAAAGCAGCCGTAAGAGGGGTCCAGGCTTGCTTCAGCTGTGTTTRAGCCTGGCCAATTCCTCAGAGACCCTACAGAGAATATACATATCCTACAGACACAGGATTGCTGGGCTGATGGGTAAGAGAGACACCTCTCCCTGCATCTCCCAGCCCCAATCACGTCTTGTTACAGCGCAGTGCCACCCTCTGGCTGGCAGTGGCATCTCAGGGCCAGCTCCATTTTCCTTTCCTCCTTGCCATCTTTGGTGCCACTGGGTGGGGTCACAGGTGAGAGGCTGTGAATAAGGGGTGTCCCAGAGGACAGGGATGTGAGAGGTGAAGTTGGGGGCTCCCTCGGGGCTCCCTTTGCTCCCTACGAACTTCCCTTTGTGTCTCTTTAGCCCAAGACCTCCCTGGGGCGCACCCTTTCCTTGTATGTCCCCTCAGATCCCCTACTGCCCCCACGGGAGCAACTGCATYGGCCTGCGATCTCCCGGTGACTGTCCCTTCCGTCCCCCGCAGATTATACGCTGTGCAACACCGTGCGCCTGTCGCTGGGAGCCGGGCTGTTACTGCTGCTGGGGCTCATCACGGCGGAGGCGGCGCGGAGCCGCTGCTGCCGGGGCCGGAGGGGGAGCGCCCTCCCCGCTCGCAGCGCTGCACCGCCCGGCACCGCCGCGGCACCGCCGGGGTTATTGGCCCGCAGCGCCTAGCGCTGGGAGAAATAAACCATCCCTTGTCGCGGCTCCTGTCCCTGTCACTTTCCCTGTCCCTGTCCCTGTCCCAGTCCCAGTCCTAGTCCCTGTACCAGTCCTGTAGCTGTCCCTGTCCCGGTTCCTGTCCCTGTCGCCGTCCCTGTAGTGGTCCCGGTCCTGGTCCCGGTCCCTGTCCCGGCTGTCTCGGGTCCCGTGGGGCGGGCGGCACAACCCCCAGGAACGCGCAGAGGGGCGGGGCCTTCTCTCCCGCGCGGCGCAGTGACCGCTACACTGGCYGCTCCTGCCCCTGGCCGCTCCTGCCCCGTGCAATGGCCGCGGCACTGACCGCTACACTGGCCGCTCCTGCCCCTGGCCGCTCCTGCCCCGTGCAATGGCCGCGGCACTGACCGCTACACTGGCCGCTCCTGCCCCTGGCCGCTCCTGCCCCGTGCAATGGCCGCGGCACTGACCGCTACACTGGCCGCTCCTGCCCCTGGCCGCTCCTGCCCCGTGCAATGGCCGCGGCACTGACCGCTACACTGGCCGCTCCTGCCCCTGGCCGCTCCTGCCCCGTGCAATGGCCGCGGCACTGACTGCTGCACTGATGACTCCTGCACCGCACAATGGCCACTGCACTGACCACTGCTCTGAGTGCTGCACAGACCGTTATTCTGGCCTCACAGTGACTAGTGCACTGACGTCTGCACTGACTGCTCCTGCTGCACAGTGACCACTGCACTGACCACTCTGCTGACTACTCTGCTGACCACTCCTGCCACGCTGCAACCACTCCAGGAATATGGTGCCTGCTCCTGCTTGGTGACTGCTCCTGATGCACACTAACCACTCCCCTGACCTCACCTGCTGCACAGTGACCACTGGCTACGCAGCGACTGCTCCTGCACAGTGACCACTGCACTGACCTCTCCCACCACGCAGTGTGACCATTCCTGCTACCCCACTGCACAATAATTGCTCCCACTGTCCCACAGCACAGTGACTGCTCCAGCTGTGCAGTGACCACTCCTGCAGCAGTGACCACTCCTGCTTCACAGGCCTCTTGCTCACATTCATTTATTATTTTAAAACACTGACAAAACACATCACACCATCATCTATATATATAAATTTACTTTTGTACTGCTATAAATTTATATATATAGGGCCTTTAAATCTCTGTACGTTCAGGATACAGTTCCAGAATAGCTGCACTGGCTACAACAGAAGGATTTTCATTATGAAAACACAGAGAGGAGGCGCCAATATCAAAAACACAGAAAAAAAGAAATTAAGAAAGAGTGCAAAATGAATGAAAGTGCAAAAAAGCTTTTGTTATTATCATAATCACACTCCCTCCACATTATGGTCCCCATTCCCCCCTCCAAGGGCAAGCAAGCCTCAGGCCCCAGTGGGCTGCGCTGGGGGAAGGCAGCCAGGCTGCAGCCCTCCTGTCTCTCCCTCTCTGAACCAAGGAGCGCTCCTGGAGGATGAGGAGTGAGGAACCCGAGCAGCCAAATCATACCCCTGTCTCGGCTCCCTTCTCCAGCACCCTCATTGCACWCACAGGTCCAGATGTGCCCCTGCAGGTGGCAGCTGCCCTAAGCCCCAGCCCTCCTAGACCATCTGGAGGGCGCTTTTCTTTTCTGAAAGTGCTTGTGATTGCCATGAGAAGAAGTAGAGGAAGACCAGGGCAGGCGACTGTGCTGTAGTGAGGCAGGYACAGCTGCACACCCCACTGAGCTCCAGGCTGGCTGCTTTCATGGGAACRGAGACCTTGGCTTGCACTGTCCCAGTGCTGCCCGTCTCCACGATGATGAGGAAACACTTTCCCAGGAGGCTCCAAATGCTCCCAGAGTCAGCCGCAGACTAGCCCCGCCAGAAGATATCCCATGGCTGAGGTTGGAGCAAGTGGTGGGACCGCTCCCATGGCTCCAGCTGAGCCCTGCCAACACCAGCTGCAGGGGCAGAAGCACAAACTTGGGGACCTGCACTCAGAAAAACATTTGACTAGAAGAATTCTTCATTGACTATGGCTGGAGTCACATCCCTCAGAAAGTCCCCAGAAGGGAAGCTGTGGGCCAGACCCAGCCCCAGTGTCGTCCCTGGCTTCTTAATGACATGGCAGTGAATGTCCCTGTGAGGAATCTGGTCAGGCAACAGGGGAAGACAGAAAACTCTGCTGCTTCTGCCTTCATCACAGCTGTCCTTGACGGTCCCTGAGGGGGGACTCCCACTCAATGCTCTGTGAGGATGGAGGACCTGCCAAGGCCAGGGGTGCAGCAAACCTTCCTTATCCTGGCCTCTCTGCTGGGATGAGGGACAACTGCTCATGGGGACACATCACCTGAGACCCTGGGATGGGGGTCTGCCACCTCCACAGCCCCAGAGACCCTCACCCTAAAACAGCAACACACCAACAGCAGGGAAATGGTGTCGTGGTACTCCCACAATCAGCCATCCACACGTACACGATGCTTTGGGTTTGGTTTTGAAGGACACAGAAGGTTACAAGTTTTAACAGTAAATAGCCCTTGACCACCTACAAACCCTGTAACTCCCTCACCCAGACAAATCCAGCAGCTTTGTACCCCAGCAGGTACACCAGCCCAAGAGTCTGAGGAGGCGATGTTCAATTCAGCAGGTGTGTGACACAGAACGWCCCATGTCCCATCACCCTTGCAGCAGGACTGGTGTTCCTGACAGCTGCTCCCGGCACAGAGCTCAGACCCAGTGGAGACGTGGGCTCCAGCTCTGCAGCCAGACCTCTCAGACGAGGGGCAGCACCCTGGCAGTCCTGTCCAGGTCATGCTTGCTCTCTAAGAGGGAGGTGAGGAGAGCCCAGGGCAGGTGGTGCCATGGCTGGCTGTGTGGGGATTCATCTCTGCCTGTGTTGCTGGTGCCCACGCAGAGCAAGGCTTGGTTGTACCCGACAGCAGAGCAAGAGCCAGTGGTACTGGCTGTACCCAGCCCGGGGGCAGCCAGCACTTGGCTCATGGCTTCTCTTCCCCTTCAGCGGGATCTTCTGARCTCCTCACCACCTCTGCTCTCCCGGGCAGCCCTGTGAGGGGCTCTCCATCCTTCTCACTGTTTTCAGATCTGATGCCTGGGTAGCAGCTCCTCTCCTAGCACCCTGGGACAGTACTTAATCCCTTCCCCAACAGGAGGAACAACTTCACATGTGGGAATACAGCAGATGAGAAAGGATACTTTCCTAAAATATGTCCTTGCAAGCTCAAGGGTTGTGTCCAGCATGAGGGAGCCTTTTCATTCCAAATAACACCTGGAAAGGACTCAGCACCCTTCACAGCCTGGGCTGAATGTCCCAGGGCTCCTCCTCTTCTCCCCCAGCACACAGTGGCCCAGAAGGAGATTCTCCATCAGCTGAAGAGACCAACTTCCACACCATTCCCTGCAGATCAAGGATGGCTCAGCAGGGACCCACGGACTCAGCTGTTCCTTCCCACTCTCTCTCTCCACAGCTGGCCATGCTGCAGTGCTCGAAGAGATGCAAGGACATAAAAAAGAAAAGGAGAGGGAGAGCTGCCTAAATCAAACCCAAGCGTGGACAAAACAAAGACATGGACAAGTTTCAAGTCCTGCATGCAGAGCAAGCAGCAGACGTGTCAAGAGCAGGTCAAACGTGACTCCAAATATTCAATAACAAAGAATCAAAATGCTACATTTTCATGGGAAGTCTCAAATAGGTTGACCCAGATGTGACAGCGGCTCTTCCAAGGCAGCGCTGCTCCAGGACACATCGCTGGTGCACTTGCTCACATCTCTGCATCCCTGTCTTTGGGCACTGGGAAAGGAAGGGAATTGTTTTGTTACTGGTATGTCATTGTTGGGAATGGGAAAGGAAGTGTACATGGGACTGGGATCACATTGCTGCAGCCTAGAGAGAGCACCTGGGCAGGCAGCCAGCCTCCAGCATTGCATGGCCACCCCCTGCTCCAACAGCTCCCACATCAGGCGTGCCAGGGCRATGGACCATGGCAATGCCAGGAGGCACAGGAGCTGTCAGAAGCTGCTGGGACTCTGCCAGGACATCCATTTCTGCTCTGCAGCCTTTTGGTCCCTCCTCCATTACAAGGGACAATGTTACATGAGCATTCCCAAAGTGCCTGCACCCCTGTTGGAAATGTGCGACATCCAAGAAGGATTGAAACAAACCAGCTAAATGCTGGATTTCTTTTAGCTCTGCAGGTAAGGGATGCAGGGACAGCAGAAGAAACTGCTCATCAGACAGCAAAACCTGGGTGCCTTGTGAGGGCAAAAAAGAGAGAAGACAGTTTGGCAGAATCGACTCAGCCAACCCAGAAACACCTTCAGAAGTGACTGTGGATCTGCCCAGTGGAACACTGGATGCTTCTTKTCCTTGGTAGCTATCTCCACTCTAGAGAGGGCCTTGCTACTAATACATGGACCCAAGTGGGCCCAATTTCCTTTGCAGAGGATTCTTTAATAGGTGCAAGGGGAACAAGCTATCCAAGCATCCTTTCTCCCAGAGAAGTGCTGGACAAAACAGTCTGAAGCACAAGAAGAAATGGAGCCTGTTCTGCACCCAGCCAGCCCTGGCCTGGCAGGGCCCTGGGGCTGCTGCATTCCAGGAAAGAGGAACAAAGCACAATGCTGGTCAYGGGCAGAGCAGCAGCCAAGGACAGCTGCTTCCTGAAGGGGCAGGAGGTGGCCACTRGTTTGCAGGGCAGTACAGGGGCAAAGTCATCAACTGGCCATAAAAAGGGGAAGTCAAAAAGATTAAGAGAAAAAGGCAAAATGAGCAGAAGGCTCCTTGAGAACATCCCTTGGAAACAGTGTTAGCRCAAGCACCCCCAGACGATCACACTGAGGGAGAAATCCCAAATCTCTCTCAGCTGCTGATCAAAGGCAAGAGCAGCCTTTAAGTGGGTGTGAGCATGGACACAGGCAGTCATTCCCTTCCCCTGTCTGGGTGACTCGAGCAGTGGTGTCAGCCCCCAGCTGTTACACCCTCCACAATGCTCCCCCGGCCCTCAACACCCCCCAAACCAGCGCAGTCACAGCAGGATGTGGGGGGCAGCTGTGGTGCTAAGATGGGCCAGTGCCACGTCCACCCTCCTTTCCTGCGACTGCCCCCGAAGCCCGGGGTCAGCCTGTACCCAGCACTGAAAACGGGCAGCATGGAGGGAAGAGGATGGGAGATAGACTGGTGGGAGAGTGGAGATATGGCATCCAGAAGGACACGAGGAGGACGTGACAAGCTRTGGTCGGTTGGGGGAATCTCTGTCCTGACCAGACAGTTTTGCAGCACCAGTGCTGAGGGAGGGTCCCGGCTGGGCCAAGAAAAGTC